TGGCTGGGATCCATTATGGCAGATGCTTTTTTGATCAAATAGGGATACTCAGACTTGGGAGAATAACTTCCAAGGGCAAAAATTGATGGGTCATCCAAAGTTCATGGGGGCTAGCCTGAGCAAACGAGTTATTCAGAGAAAGAGCTCGTAGACTCTATCTCACAAGTTTGATTTTCTTTCATTGTCACATGGGCATTATACCTTAACATGTCGGAATAATATATGGCGTTACAGTGCTCCTACTCCATTGCTGATTTAAAAAAAAAAACAACTAAATTCTTTTTGCTTTATATGAAAACTGATCATTTATACTCCCCCAAGTCAGTACATATATTGTGGGATCAAGTGAAAGAAACAGAGAGAGAGCAGTTATTCCATTAGGAGCTAGTTTTTTTTTTTTGTTATTGTTGTTTTTACAATGTAAACTGGGGCATCCATCACAGTATGTTTCATATTTGGGAGCTTATAATATGATATTCCGGCTAGTCTAAACTCAGTCTCACTTGAAAAAGCTGAAAAAAATGACTCACATTGAAGTCCCTGGCTTATTTACTGGTAAACAAATCTTCAGAGTCACAGCCCTTCAGGTAATGACTTCACTGAATGCTGAGGGAATTACACCAACCTCTATTTGGAAATAGGTAAAGATAATTTGCCTTAGAAATAACAAAAAGGCAGCCTCAAAGAATGTGAGGGCACACTTGGAGACTTTTATGAAAGTTAAATGTTGATGGATCGAAAAAGAAGAGTATCTAGTAAAGGAAAGAAGATACAAATCAAATGGATAGCTGTCAGTTTGACCCTTACTAAATGCATAATGCTAAGGTATTGCTTAGAAGCTTCTTGGTATGAGGCACAGCTGGCTGTGTTTGAAAATATGGATACTGAATCAGGAAATTCAACCAAAGGCCAATGGAAAATGTCAGAATAATGGCAAATAGAGATTAGGAAAAGAGCACTCTTCTAAAACCAATTTCTTTTCACCATTGAAAAAAACATTTAACATGAATAAGTCTGGGCAGCTGAGGCAAGAACCAAGAGTCATCTAGAGAAAGTTTCAACAATAGACAGGCCTATTTCAAATGCATTGGTCATAATAAAACATTATAGTTAATGACTGTGGAACTGTGGGACAACAGAATGAACTTGAGGACAGGGGCCATTTCATTTCTCTCTTTGTATCTCCAGTGCCAAGAATTAGGGCCTTGAATCTGTCACATTCAATTGAATTCATTGCATGCCATGAAGAGACTCCAAAAGACTAGGACTTTGAGTAAAATAAATGGAAAAGAAATGAGAGAGGTTTCACTGGACAAAATGCTTACATCTTGAAGCAAAAATGTGTTAAAGCTAACAGCAACGCATGCCAGCCAAGGAACCGAGTTATACTGGGTGGCTATAAATCGTCTAGCTGTGACTGATGAAAGTAGCATTGAATTAAATAAAGAATTGAAAGCCTCCACCCGTAGCACATACAATCTACAATTACTGTCAGAAACATTTCAAAGTTTGGGCAAAATATATCCACAGAGATTTACAGTTATAAATGATATTCAAGTTCTACATGAAATTTCATGACAGAAGATGGCAACATTTCCATAACCAACCATACGAAGAATTATCAGTCAATTTCAGGTTTGTCTCTCCATGCTTTGGAAATCAGTGACTGCAGCAAGAATTAATCAATACTTTCCAATCAGTCATATCTTGACAGAAGAGCAAGATATGTGCAAGAAAATAATTTTAGGTTTTAAAAGGGGGAAAAAAAGCTACCTTCCTACATTAGTAGTCCATAGAGTTTTATGGTCTTAGAAATGTCTTAGCCATTTTTTCCTGTTTATTTTTGAGCTTCATTAATCAAGACATTTTGTGAACCAAGACAGAACATTGGGATCTCCCATCTCTTCTGCATATGGATGATGAGAACATAAGTGCCGAATGATAACTTACTTTAAAAGCAGGTCTGTAATAGTATATAATTGAGAGGGATCTGGTTTGGACTAGTATATCCTTTCAATAATTCCAGGGAAGATGAGGAACTTGGGCAATGCATCTCAATGGAATGAAGATTATATAACAGAAACCCGACGAGTATTAGGTATATGAAATTGAGCAATGGTTTCCAAATTAACTACACAAAAGATTAAAAAAAAGCATCACAAAAAACTACCAGGGGAGTGTTGTGACACTGCTATTGTTGTGACATTGTGACAAGAACTCAAACTACCAGAAGCTAGATTCATTAATACATCAAGAACCTATGAGTAAATAAGTATGGACACTCCTTCTACCAACACATGCCCACATCCCAGCCTGTCCATAACTTACAGTCTTAGAGAGTCGCCTGAAGCTCAGAGCTCAAGTAAAATGCTCATGGTCACACAGCTAGTAAATATCAGGAGTTATGAATAACTAGGTAAAGTTTGCCTCCATGCCCTCTTTTTTCTGGGTCCTTTTATTTCAGTACCCTCCCCGATACTTAGGCACCAGGTTCTCTCACCTACTCAATTTCTCCTGTCCTGATCTGATTCAAATCATTCAGACCTAAGGTCTTAGGAGTTTTATATGCCACCCCTCTCAGCAGGTTTTATATTTGAAGACAGGGCATGCACAGGGAGAAATGTAGAATAGAGAATAGTAACTTTGGCATTTCTTACATCAATTGATCAACATTTTTCTATTCTGAAATCATACCATGCAGGCAAGTGCCTGTGCTTTAAGCAATCAGATCTGCACCTTCATGTTCATTTATGGATTCTGTTTTGTGTCCACCTTCCGATGAGCTCACAAGTATTATAGCAGGTCCGCTAAGATTTCAAAATATTACCTACACAGGACAGTCACTAAATTATTTTTAGGGAAAAGGATTATTGGGAGATATGAAGACGTGATGAACAAAAAGGTAGACACACACCAGAAAATGTGAATCCATTTCTGTCCAACTACTCGGTGGCTGCTTCTGAAGTTGCTGCCAACTTGTTGGCATGCCCTGGCTTTGCATGTTGGAACATCCCCAGCCACGTGCAAAATCTATACTTATCTTTTAACTTGAAAAATAAGGCAGCTGAGGTCTGCTTCAGGTTGGCAGTCGATGCAGCAAAATATGCTTCCCAAAAGGCAGAGCACTATCTGATCCAAAATAGAAAAGAAAAACCAAAACCAAAACCCCAGAAGTGGTTGAGTTTGAAGAATGCAGCTATAAACACAGATGAATCTAATAAGGGGTGGCATGAAATTTAAAGCTGGAATGGTGAATTATCAATACCTACAAGACACAGCTTGAAGGACAAAGTTCTTGGTGGAGAGTTGCTGCCTTTCAAAGAATCCTAGAATCTATTCAGGCAGTAAGGACAAAGGTTTGCTGGAAAGGTGGCAAGCAGAAGAAAGCACAGGTCCTGAGATGGGCAACATAGTGGCCTATACCTGAAACCCGTGGGAATTGATGGTACAAAAATGCTGTTGAACTGCTTAAAATCATGGAGGAGTCAGATGGCTACTAGCACGTGAACTTTTTGGCAGGGGCAAAGACCCGCCATTGCTGGTAGGGTAGAGCATATGCAGTGAGAAAAAATATTTGGCTAAAATCAGAGAAAGTAACAATGAAGAAGAGAGAGGATGGGAGAACTGGGGGAACTGAATCATACATTGTTTTATCTTAGGTTTCACGAGATCTTATTACTAGAGTACACATAGCTTTTAGACCATGTGAACAGAAATGCTGAATACTTTTCTTGTTGTTATTGCTTGGGCATTTCAGGTGTGTCTGATTCTTCATGACTCCATTTGGAGTTTTCTTGGCAAAGATACTGGAGTGGTTTGCCTTTCCTGCTCATTTTACAGATGAGGAAACTGAGGTAAATAAGGTTAAGTGACTTGCCCATGGTCACACAGCTAGTAAGTGTCTCAGGCTAGATTTGAACTCAGGAAGATGAGTCTTCCTGACTCCAGTTCTAGTGCTCTATCCACTATGGTGCCACCTAGCTGCCACGTTAGAAGGGGCCATTTACAGAAAGGAACACTATACGGACAACCTGAGTTAACACACTCATCATTTCAGGCAGAGTAAGCCCTACTCTCTCCAAGACTGTAAGTTATGGACAGGTTGTTATGTTGGCATATGTTGGTGGAGGGCATGTCCATACATACTAATTATAGGTCCTTGATATATTAATGAATCCATCTGTTGGTGATTTGAGATCTGGTCAGGATGACACATACCAATGTCACAACAGTTCTCTGGTTGGTTTTTGTGATACTTTTATAAAAATCTTTTGAAAAAGATTTTCAATACCTGTGATTTCTTCCTTCTTAAAAACTTTTGTTTTATTTCTGAGCCATACCATGGTAGAGCTCTTTAAAGGGCTTCCTTCTCATATTCAGGACACACTCTATGACAGGCCTGTACAAAGTGCAGCCTGTGGGCCACTTACAGCATGCTAAAGGATTTCGGGCAGCTAGCGAAAAATGTTGAGGAAAACATCCTTTGCATGTAAAGGAAATCCTTTGGCTGGCCACAGGTTGTGCAGGTCTACTCCATGATATAGTAGAAAGGATGTTGGATTTGGAATCAGAGGACCTAGGTTCAAATATCTTCCGGAGGATCTGAGTCCAAATCTAGCCTCAGACACTTACTAGCTGTATGACCTAAGCAAGTCACTTAACCCTGTTTACCTCAGTTTCCTCCTCTGTAAAATGAGCTGGAGAAGGAAATGGCAAATTACTGTAGTATCTTTGCCAAGAAAATCCCAAATGAGCTCATGGGGAGTCAGACATGAATGAAGAATAATTGAGCAACAACAAAACCCATTAGCTTACTTTGCTATGTATGTGTGAAGCTGAGAAAATGCCCATTTTAAGAGTCTGTATCACAATTCTAAATTGGGTGAAGATTCGGCAGCCTGATTCATGCCAACTACCGTCTCTGAGACAAGACTGAAAGACTCAGGAAGCTGGAAGACAAGATTACAAAAACCAACTCTAATTAAGTTTATGAGCAATACCGGAGTTATCTTCATCTTTACGGATTTTGAGCTTCACAAGGTCCTCACACTGCTGGAGAATCTGAACTGCATCTTCCATGGAGCAGTTGTCCAGTCGGATGTTATCAATAGCCAGCAGTTTGTCCCCAAGTTCTAGGGTCCCAGTTCTATTAAAGGAATGGAAACACATGAAGAACTAGTACCACTTAAGTGGGCTGTTTAAAGTATCATCAAACATGATCCAGACTTGGAAGGAAAATAATTCTTCAATTTAAAAAAAAATGTATTTTCTTTACAATTGTCTTTTTTTTTTGTTTTTTGTTTTTTTTTTTTTTTACCGATTTTGGGATGACAGCCATGACATTTAGTTACCAGGTATTAAAAATATTAAATTTATTACTCCCTCCAATAAACAGGGAACTAATTGATTTAGGCACTAGACAGACTGCACTCAGGGGGAGACCTCAAATGCCACCATCTGCATTTGGCCTTTCCTTGTTTCCCTTCAGTCATTTGAATATTCCTTTTTAAGGTTACTTTCATTCTATTCTGTTTTGATTGTGAAAGTACTTGCTTGGATAAAACCCATTGGGATTCAAATGGAGTTATTCCACCATGCCTTAAACCCAAATCACTGGCTTTCACAGATTGGACAACAGTAGGTCCCAGCCTAAGCTTCACTTGATCATTGATTGGGTTTTGATGGCTCTGAATGAGTGTAAATAGAAATAATTTCTGTTTTAGCCAGAAACCCTGAGGGTTTTCCCCTCCCAGATTGTTGTTTTTTTGGGGGGGTAGATAGGTAAAAGAGGCCATTTCTTGCTTCATTTCTTACCTAGCATTAACCACTGAATAGGTGTTTACTCAGACAAACTGAGACCTGGAAATGACCTTAGCTTAAAAAGGCCAAGGTCTCCCACTGCATCTAGGGCCATCTCCAGTCCTCCTGATCTATATCTTACCCCTTGCTCCAGAGATGACTCTAGAGGACAGAATGAGGCTGGTGACTTTGCACAGCCCTGCCTCACTTTAAATCCAATTCATTTGCTAGTCAAGTCATCACCTTCCCAATGTCTTTGGTCTTATTCCAGAACAAAGGACAAACAACAATAACTTGCTAATCTACGTGTTATCTCTCTCCAATCCCCTAGGATTGTAAACTCCTGGAGGGAATCAACTGGTTTCTTGTTTTGCCCTTCCTTTAGTGCTTGGCACATCACAAGAGCTTAAACAATGCTTGTTGATTGATTGATAGTTCTCATTCTACAGTAGAAAGACATAATGGAAGGTGTGCATTCTGCATTGGTTAAGGAATACTTTGCAGCTTTATTTCTGTATGTGATATCTCTTATCAATCCTCAGGTATAGGAGGAAAAATTGGGGGAAGACTCAGGAAAGTGAAATATGGAAGTAGTGTCTAATGACTTCACTAGTAATTTGTTTGGTTTGGAGGTAATCAGGGTTAAGTGACTTGCCCAGGGTCACACATCCAGTAAGTGTCTGAGACCACATTTGAACTCAAGTTTTCTTGACCCCAACCCCAGTGTTCTATACATTGTGCCACCTCACTGCCCCTTTACTATGATTTGTGACTGGGAAGCCTTAGTTACTTCCAACTATGCTCAATGAATCATGTGTATTTTTGGGATGGAGTGACAAGGGGTCCTGCTATGTGTTCTGGGCTTATGGTATGCAGAACAAGGATTTACTTAGGGGTTGGAAATACCTATAATGTCCCAAGTCTGAGATAAGCATTTTAGGGAACCATTATTATTATTATTATTATCATCATTATCATTATTATTATTGTTTTTCTTTTTGCTCCTACCCCTGACTTGCCTGTGCTTTCCAGCTGACACACCCTTTGTGCTCAGGACACAGGCTTGGGCATCTATCATTGGTCTCACCACCAACCACAGCTTGTCTGAAAGGTTCTGTCTGCCTGAGCCAGGGAGGAAAGAACCTAGCATGGGGCTGGGCTTTTCTATCATGCAATTATCTCTATGGGGTAGCTGTCAGGAGAAGAGCCAAGCTCATCTTTAGATCGAAGAAGGTTGGGTGGGAAGCGAACAGACAAAGAGAACATATGTTGGACCCACAGCAGGGGAAATATTCATGAAAAACTCCTTGACTGGATGATTGAATGAGAACTATGCTACACACAGAAATCAATTACTGACAGAAGAGAGGTCCAATTAGCTGTTAGCTTGAGGCACGGCTAGGTCTAGGCTAGCCAATTGGATGGAAGAGGTCTGTCCATTGTCTCACCTGTGAGCCACACTCCCTCTCTTGATATCTGAGATAACAAGGGGATCTCCTGGTTTTCTGCTCGCTGGTGCTATAAAGAGAAAAACAGAAAAAAAAATTACTGATATTTTAAATTGATTTTACACATAAAAGTATATTCCTTGGGCTATTTTTTAAGTACTGTTTAGTTTGATAATATAATAGTAAATCCTGATTATAACTCTATAGTGATAAAGCTCTTAACATGCCCTAGAAAATGAATATTTAGTTCCACAGACAGCAATATTTTGTCCCCACCTGGTTGTATTTGGACACACACTGATGTTATCATCATCATTCAGAGTCACAAAGAAAGCTATTTAGTCTCATTTATAATGGTTGAGCTCAGTATTCTGTTGTTTCAGTAACTGAAATCACATCAATAACAACAGTAGTGATAATTTACATTTATACAGTGCCTCAAAGTGGCAAAAGTCTCTATATATGGTGTTTCATTCATATTCTAAGTATCATAAGAGTTACCTCCCCATAAATTGTATAAAATGAAGGAGAGATCAACTCCAGCTGGGCAGGGGAAGGAAAGGAATGGAATCAGAGAAATGTCTGTAGGGAAGGTCACATCTGAGATGGATTTTGAGAGATGGGCAAAATTTAAATAGGTAGAGGTTGGGGGTGGGGAGGTACATTCCAGGTATATGGATTATTCTTAGTTTCCAGCAAAGAGTGAGGCAAAGAGGAGAGGGAGATGGCCTTAGATTCAGGAAGACGTCAGTTGACATACTGTGACCTTGGGCAACTCTCTTAATACTAGAAGTTATAGGAAAAGCGCCAAGATGTTTTGCTAGGAGGAGGTTTTGCTACCACGGGGTTCCCTATACCAGTGAAATCATAGTCTGGCCCCTATCTCTTTTCTTCCTACTAAGTATACAAAAGAAATCCCCACCATAATAATGAGTGAAGAATTTAATTCCTCCCTGAACTAGTTTTGCATAATTCTTTTATGCTGTGAATGACCAAGTTTTCATGACTTTCATTCTCACCCTATTTCAACACTGCCTCTTTTTCTAGGCATAGGTCACTCAAATCAAAACATAACTCCTGTATCGTGAGTAAACATGTTTTCTCAGAATCTGTCAATATGTTTATAAAACATTTTGCCAAGATATATAACCCATCATACAACAATCAATAGCTTTTCAAAAAAAAATTTATGTTCCATTAGCCTGGCCTCTGATCAGAACCAATAGTGAAGGAAAGACAGTAAGGCTCGACTCTGTGACCTTTCTAACCAAGGGAAGCATTCCCCAGAGACTTTTTAGAAGTCGGTGCATTTACAAATACAAGTGAAACAGCTGGGCTTGCATCCTACCAAGTGTGCGCTGACTTCCCCTGGGAAATTACAGGGACACCTGTGGCTTAGCACGGAAAGACTTGTGTTTTGAGAAAAAAAAGCCCCTGGTCAGGAAGAGCCGCTGACAGAGGATCTTAGGAAGGGAGCAGCTCTGGCCTCCGTCCATCTCCTCCTTAAGTAGGGAAATACCTGCTCAAACTACTCCGGGTACATTTTGAGTTCAAACAATCTGAAAAATGTCAATTGAATGCATGCTATATTTCTGGCACTGTGCTATACAAGGTCATTCACCTGAAACTTACAGTCTCGTGGGGTGGAGGGAAATTAGAGAAATACACAAATAATCAAAATACAAGGTAGAATTAATAAAATCAGTGAATAATAATAATAGTTAGCATTTGTATAGTACTTTATAGGTTTGAAAAGCACTTCACAAATAATATATCGTTTTATCATCACAACAACCCTGGGAGATAGGTGCTATTATTGTCCCCATTTTATCAAAGAGGAAACTGAGGCAGATAGAGGTTAAAGTGACTTGCTCAGGGCCACATAGCCGAGAAAGATCTAAGGTCAAATTCGAACTCAGGTCTTTCTGACACTAGGCTTGACACTCTATCCACTGTGCCACCTAGGTACTAGGGAGCATTAGAAGGAGGTATGAAAAATCTTACTATTGGAGACTCAGGGAAGATTTCATTAAGGAAATAGCCCCTGAGATGGGATATTAAGGACAGATAGGAAGAGGGAATAATATACGCACTCAATTGGGTATAGAAATCTATCTTACCCTACAAGAAACTAGGAGAGAGGGGCAGCTAGGTGGTGCAGTGGATAGAACACCGGCCCTGGAATCAGGAGGAACTGAGTTCAAATCTGACCTCAGATGCTTGACGCTTACTAGCTGTGTGACCCTAGACACGTCACTTAACCCCAATTGCCTCACCAAAAAAAAAAAAAAAAAGTAGGAGAGGAAGGGGAGAAAAGAAGGGAGGGTGGACTGGGGGAGGCAAGAGTCAGAAGCAAAACACTTGAGGAAGGACAGGGTGAGGAGAGAGAATAGAATAAACAGTAGGGAAATAGGATGGAAAGAAATAACAGCAATTATAACTGAAAAAATGAAGCAAGGACAGATAGGATTTAAACAGGTAGAAATCTGAAAGAAGGGCATTCAAGGTAGGGAACAGAATCAGCAAAGGTGTGGATGTGGGAATGCACAGGATGTATTACAGGGAAGTTTGACTTAAACATTAGAATGAAGGAACAACTCCGTTAGATTCAATTCACTAAATTTAAATTTGTTAAGGGCAGTTAGGTGGTGCAGTGGATAGAATGCCAAGTAAGGAAGATTCATCTTTGAGAGTTCAAATCCTGCCTCAGACACTTACTAGCTGAGTGACCCTGGGCAAGTCATTTAACCCTGCTTGCCTCGGTTTCCTCATCTGAAAAATGAGCTGGAGAAGGAAATGGCAAACCATTCCAGTACCTTTGCCAAGAAAATCCCAAACAAAGAGTCAGACACAACTGAAACTGAACAACAACAAATTTAAATTCACTGAATATTTGTTAAGCACTGGGAAGAAGGCGGGAGATCGAGCTCAGAAGATAAGTTGGCAATATATTATGAAGAATTTTCAATGTCAGGGTAAGGAATTTGGACTTTATCCTGTAAGCAACGGGAGATGATGGAGTTTTTTGTTCAAGGGAGGCACACAAGCAGAACCATGTTGTAACAAGATTAATCTTGACAACACATTAAGGATGGATTGGAGCAGGAAAAACTGGAAGCAAGGAAATAATGTAGACTGCAGTAATCTAGGCAAGAGGTAATAAGGTCCTGAACTAAGACGGTGGCAGTGAGAATGGAAAAGGGAGGAGAAACTGATTGAATGGAGAACTTTCTGTATGGAGAAGGACTCACCCACTAACAGAGATTACTGTGAGAACCTAACCAAAAATGAATAAAAGATAAGACAGGGTTTCTTGAATTATTTTGAGGTCAGATACTCAGTTTCCATTAGGTCTGAAATTACTTTTTACTAGAAAGCCAATCGATTTTTGTATGGCAACCCAAATGCCTTGTGTGGGGACCCAGGGAGAAGTCAGAGGATAAAATGAGAGAAATGGGCATTGGTGACTGAAAACTGTCCAAGAGCCTACCCCACGAAATCTGTGTTATACCACATGTGGCACTGCTGTGGGCCTACAGGCAGTGGAAAATTACTCACAACCTTTAGTTGATTTTAACAGTTTTACTACTTGGCACAACAGGGAAACATACAGAGGAATTATAACAATAAACCAAAGGGGGACTTCACCAGTTGTAAAGGTTTTATTAGTTAATCTCAGTCCTCTGTGCTCATTCTAGGAATTAGGACTTAATCTATCTTAGTTATTTCCTTCTTTCCCTGACCTTGCCTCTTCTTCCTCAGTTGTCCCAAGTCCATCCTTCTTTGAGTTGAAAGTTAGGGCAAGCTCTTTTATTGTTGTTCAGTCATTTTCAGTTGTGCCTGACTCTTCATGATGCCATTTGGGATTTTCTTGGAGAGATACTGGAGTGGTTTGCCATTTCCTTCTCCTGCTCATTTTACAGACAAGGAAACTGAGGCAAACAGGGTTAAGTGTCTTGCCCAGGGCCACACAGCGAGTAAGTGTCTGAGGAGGGATTTGAACTCGAGAAGATGAGTCTTCCTAACTCCAGGCACGGTGCTCTATGCACTATGGTGCCACCTAACTACCCCAAGCCCTAGGTTTCTAGCTAATCTGAATTCACATAATTTGATGAAACTGTTAGAGGTTAAATCTGCCCTTCTAGAAACTTCTTTCCTCTATAGTACCTCAACTCAACTCCTCATTCACACACATACCACTTAGATTGGATAATCTACTGCCAGATCTTGATGTTTCAACCTTCAGAGCATCATTCCCTTTTCTCCACCCCCAGAGCTGCCAACCTAACGCAAACCTTCATCACCTCATGCCTGGATCACTGCAATAGCCTTCTGGTTGGTCTCCACACCTCAAATCACTGCCCACTCCAATCCATCCTCCACTTAGCTGCCAAAGTGATTTTCCTAAAAAGCAAGTCTGACAACATCACGGCACTTTGCTAACTAGCAGCTTCCTATTACCTCCAGGATCAAATATACAAAGCTCTGTTTTGCTTCTAAAGCCTTTCACAATCTGACTTCTTCCTACCTTTCCTGCCTCCTTACTCATTACTCCCTTCTATGTAACCTATAATCCAGTGACACTGGCTTTCGTGCTGTCCTACTATGTGACACTCCCTCTGACTCTGCCTGTTCACTGTCTGCCCTCCCTGTCTCCAGGTAATGCTCTCCCTCTTCACCTTAGTTTCCTGGTTTCCTTCAAGCCTCAGCTCAAATCTCACCTTAAGGAGGAAACCTTTTCTGGTCTCCCCCCAATCCCCAATCACTGGTGTGTTCCCTCTGGGATTGCCTTTCATTTACACTGTAAATGTTTTGTTTATGATTTTTTTTTTTGTATTCTGTCTCCCCTACTAGGATGTAAGTTCCTTGAGGGGAAGGACTATATTTTTACCTTTTTTTGTATCCCCAGTACTTAGCCCTATGCCTGTCATAAAGCTTAATAAGTAATTGAAGACTGAGTAACTCTGAAGGCACTGGAGATCCCAGGTGGTAGAGCAAGTACCTTCTTCTTTGCTAATCCAGATGAGTCTTTGTCCTGGATATTAGAAATGCAAGGAATTTACTGTTACC